CTTAATATGCTTAAAACTGTGGAGCCCAATATCAAGGCTAGCACTGGGCATGTCTTAGCTATTCATTCCTCCAAGGGAACTAAGAGGAAAATCAAAGGAAGTTTTAAGAAAACATCCAAAAAGGCTAAGGGCAATAACAAAGCAGTCAAAGCAGGCAAGGACAATACCAAATCTGATGACCCATGTTATCACTGTGGAGTGAAAGGTCATTGGAAGAGGAACTGCAAGGCTTACCTTGCAAGCTTGAAGGGAAAGAAGTCTTCTGAAACTTCTACTTCAGGTACTTTTGTTATCGAGGTTAATATGTCTACTTCATTAGCTTCTTGGGTATTAAATACCGGATGTGGATCTCATATTTGTATAAATATGCAGAGACTAAAAAGAAGTAGAGCACTGCAGAAAAGAGAAGTTGACCTGCGCGTGGGAAATGGAGCAAGAGTTGCTGCATTAGCTATAGTGACATACTTCTTATCACTGCCTTCAGGCTTAGTATTAGAATTAGAAAATTGCTATTTTGTTCCCGTCATTACTAAAAACATTATTTCTATTTCGTGTTTAGACATGAGTGGTTTTTCAATTAATGTTAAGAACAATTGTTGTTCGTTTTATAAAGATGAGATCTTTTATGGCTGTGGTGTGTTGCAGAATGGAATTTATATTCTTGATACTGAGTCGTCTATTATGAATATAGAAAATAAAAGGCATAAAATTGATAATCTAAATACTACATACCTTTGGCATTGCAGATTGGGTCATATTAATGACAAACGCATTTCCAAGTTACATAAAGATGGATACTTAGGGTCAACTGATTTTGAATCATTTGACAGATGCGAGTCGTGCCTGTTAGGCAAAATGACCAAGTTCCCTTTTATTGGAAAAGGAGAAAGAACCACAGAACTGTTGGGACTAATACATACTGATGTATGTGGACCCATGTCAATAACTGCCAGAGGTGGTTTCTCTTACTTCATCACATTCACTGATGATCATTCTAGATATGGCTATGTGTATCTGATGAAATTCAAGCATGAAGCACTTGAAAAGTTCAAGGAATTCAAACTTGAAGTAGAGAAATAAACTGGTAAAAATATACTCACGCTGAGATCAGATCGAGGTGGAGAATATTTAAAGGGAGAGTTTTTAGATTATCTTAAAGAGAACGGGATTCTCTCACAGTGGACTCCGCCATATACACCGCAACATAATGGTGTATCTGAACGGAGGAATTGCACTTTGTTAGACATGGTGCGATCTATGACGAGCCATGCAAACATCCCAAAATCATTTTGGGGTCATGCACTAATTGCTGCATGCTACACACTTAATCCTGTCCCATCTAAATCGGTCGACAAAACTCCATACGAGCTATGGAGAGGAAAAAGACCAAACTTATCTCATGTGAAAGTTTGGGGCGTAACGCTTATGTAAAGCGAAATGAATCAGATAAGCTTGAAGCTAAATCTGACAAATGTGTATTTGTGGAATATCCAAAGGAGACAATTGGATATCAATTATATAATCCCGTTGAGAAGAAAGTGTTCATCTCAAGGCATGCCATATTCTTAGAGAAAGAATTTATTCTAGTAGAGGGTAGTGGGAGCAAACTAGAACTTGAAGAAGTTCAAGAATCCACGGACACTGTTGACCAATTAGATGAACTTGAGTCTGATCCTACACCTGTTGATGGACAGACTCTTGATCAGGATGTAGAGAACCCTGAGGACACTCCAGCTCAGCGTAAATCAAGCATGATCATTCGACCTCCCAGGAGGTACGAATTCACGATTACTAATCAAGTATTATTAATCGAGGATGATGAACCTGCAAATTACGCAGAAGCAAAGTCAAGTGTTGATTCAAAGAGATGGCAATATGCCATGGAACTCGAAATGGACTCAATGTATGAGAACAAGGTTTGGACCTTGGTCGACCTTCCAGGTGGGATAAAACCGATAGGTTGTAAATTGGTTTACAAGAAAAAGGTCGATGTGGATGGAAACGTCCACACATACAAAGCAAGGCTAGTAGCGAAAGGTTACACATAAAGACAAGGTATTGACTTTGATGAAACTTTTTCACCTGTAGCCATGCTGAAGTCCATTCAAATTTTGCTTGCAATAACTGCATACCATAATTATGAGATATGGCAAATGGATGTCAAAACTGCTTTCCTTAATGGAAACCTGCAAGAGGAGGTGTACATGACACAGCCTGAAGGTTTTGAATCCAAAGGAGCCTACAAAGTATGCAAGCTAAATCGATCCATTTATAGATTAAAGCAAACCTCTAGGAGCTGGAATCTTCGTTTTGATGAAACAATCAAAACGTTTGATTTTATCAAAAATGAAGATGAACCGTGTGTTTATAAGAAAACAAGTGGGAGCGCAGTCGTATTCCTGATATTATATGTCGATGACATATTATTAATGGGAAACGACATCCCAATGCTTCAATCGGTAAAATTATGGTTGTCAAAGAATTTCTCCATGAAAGATATGGGAGAAGCAGTGTATATCTTGGGAATCAAGATCTATAGAGATAGATCTAAAAGATTACTAGGCTTATCCCAATCTTCGTACATAGATAAAATCTTGAGAAGATTTAATATGGAAGAGTCTAAAAGAGGATTATGCCCCATGTCACATGGGATTTACCTCTCAAGAGATATGTGTCCTAAAACACATGATGAAAGGAGTCACATGGACAAGATTGCCTATACTTCGATGATAGGATCTATCATGTATGCGATGCTATGTACAAGACCAGATGTTTCGTATGCTCTAAGTGTTACGAGCAAGTTTCAAGCAAACCCTGGTGAGAAACACTGGATAGCGGTTAAGAACATTCTTAAGTACTTAAGAAGGACTAAAGATGTGTTCTTGATCTATGGAGGAAATGAACTGAAAATTCAAGGGTATACTGATGCTAGTTTTCAAACTGATAAAGATGATAGCAAAATGTGCTAAGGCGATATCATCTGATCAGGGAGATTATACAAAGGAATGACGTAACGATAGAGCGAGTTCCCACAGATGATAATATTGCAGATCCACTGACAAAGCCGTTGTCACAACAGAAACATGATCGTCATGTGGATGCTTATGGTATTAGATACGTGAGTGATTGGATCTAGTGCAAGTGGGAGTTTGTAAGTGTTATGCCCTAGATCCAATCGATTTAGGTTGTTAACACTTTTAATATATTTAATGCATTTGATTTTGACGAGATCTATTATTTATTTAAATTAATTTTGTGATAAATAATATTAAATTATAGAATCCGAAGATCCAATTTTTAGGTAATCTGTTAATCACAAGGTGTTGTGATTTGAGATACAAATTACATATAATTGGATCTTGAATAAACCATGGTCGTAAGTAATAACGAGATACGGATATCGTTAATACAGTTAGACCATCACGTGTGGCATCTCTTACTTGTGAAGTAAGTAGCTGATCTCACGAGCTAAAGTGTGGTGACACTTAAATGAACACGTAGATGTTTTGTTATAGAACAAAATATTGGAGACCCGCTAAGAGATTCCACATGGATAACTATCTGAGTGTCGGTGGCTAATCTCTAACGTTCAGTAGTGGAATTGGTCCTTTGACTTGAGGTCGTCATGGTACCTTATATGAGGACAGTCATACTTTGGCGGTGTTGGATGTTGCTCTGAAAGGGACCGCTAATACGACATCGTTCGGGTACGTCAAGAATTGTATGAAGGTTGTAATTGATCAATAAAGGATTAGTCACTCTTAGATAGTAGGAGATTATGATCTGCGTTTCATTCAATTAATTCGATGATGAAATCCTTGGCCAAGGTGTATTCATAAGTAGAAAATGAGTTTTCAATTTATATTGACTTAATAGTGGAGTGAAAGATATGATCAATTATCGAGATTGACACAATTTCATATCTCATAATTGATCGGATCGTATCGACGAAGGGATAATAGTTTCACGGTAAACGAACGAATTTGGTTTTGTCATACCACGTGACATTTCCCATCACATGCATTGCCCTGACACATTGCTAGATGTCAATCAAGGACGGCGAGTGTGAATTGACGATAAATTAAAAGGGTGTATTAATTTATCAATTTTGATTAGATCAAAATAATATTTCACAACGTTAGGCATCATGGTCGGGAACCTAATGGGTCGCACACAAAAGATAATTGGAAGATTGCAAATTGCCAATTGGTTAATTTAACAATCGTTGGATAAATTAATTAATTGAATTTTTTATTTATATTCTCGAATTAATTAATTGGATTAATTAATTCACGGACTGGGTTTAATTAATTGGATTAATTAAATATTGGATCGGACCGGACCGGGTCATTTTTGGGTTTATATATATACATAGTTAGAGTTTGAGGTCCAAAAAGGTTTTCATTATTCTTGCTGGCACAAGAGAGAAACCCTAGCAGTTGCAGTCTATTCTCTGTGTAGATTTCATTGGAGACTGGATAATTGGACAGCTGTGGGAGGTAGATTCAAGCTACTGGAAAGGAATAACGCGAAGGAGTTTGCAAATTACAAGAAAATGTATATTTCTTATCACAGTTTTTATCTAAATATAAAGTTGAATTCTGAATGGAATTGAAATTTGTTAAATTCCGCTGTGCATGTTTAAGTAAATTCCCAACACATTTAAGTGTCACCACACTTTAGCTCGTAAGATCAACTACTTACTTCACAAGTAAGAAATGCCACACGTAATGGTCTAACTGCATTAACGATATCCGTATCTCGTTATTACTTACGACCACGGTTTATTCAAGATCCAATTATATGTAATTTGTATCTCACAATCACAACTCCTTGTGATTAACAAATCACTTAAAATTGGATCTTCGGATTCTATTATTTAATGTTATTTATCACAAAATTAATTTAAATAAATAATAGATCTCGCCAAAATCAAATGCATTAAACATATTAAAAGCGTTTACAACCTAAATCGATTGGATCTAGGGCATAACACTTACAGCTTTCACTCCATTGTCAACTTTTCTTTTGCCAACTTGCAGCGGACTCCTATTAATTAGGTCTGTGAGGTACTCCTCTGCTACATCTTCTAGGCTCTTTTGCTCCTTTTTTTCTACGAATCCTTCAGCTATCCATAGTAATAATAGCCGCGGAACTGGAATTTCCTCGTCTTCCTGGAATACACTAAGATAGACTAAGATAGACGAAACATGACTTCAAGTGATTTAGTAGATGCCAGAAACTAAGTTTCAATGAGGGAATGTAGTCGTCAGCTTTTTGGGAAATAAAAGAACTTAATTCTTTTGCAACTCGCTGCCATGAGCTTGCTTGCTTCTCCATATTTGAAAGAACTCCAGCTATCGTAACGACTGAAAGCGGGAGTCCATGACAATTTTTTGCAATTTGCATTCCAATATCTTGCAATTCCCGAGGGCAACGTTCTTTCTTGAACACATTCTTCTTTAATAAATCCCAACTTCCATCTGTAGACAAGAGAGGAGGTTCAATGATAACATGTGAAATTTCCGGTGCCACATTTTTCAGCCGACTGGTAAACAATATTCTGCTTCCATTTCTATCCTCTGGAAATAGCCTTTTCAAATCATCCCATGCTTTTGTATCCCATAAAATCATCCATAACAATGAGGTATCTTCTACCCTTTAAACTTTTGTAAAGACATTCGACCAACTTTCCTTCATCTTCTATTTCTGAAATGTAGTCTCTGTCAAGGTCACTTAAGGAGCTCAAAATGTCTATCAACAGCTTTCTCTTATTATAAGTTTGAGGAACAACACGCCATGAAAGCTTCTCAAAATGGTGCCGAACATTGGAATCTTTGTGTATTTTCTTCGCTAAAGTAGTCTTCCCAGGTCCAGGCATTCCAGCAATTGAAATAATCTGGCGGTATTCTGGTTTTCCAAGAAGGTTGCTCGCAATTTGTGTTGTCATCTTCTCAAGGCCCACAGTCATCTCTTCTACGATGGGAATGCTTTTATCTTAGGATGATGATACTTCAATTGGACTTTCTTCAACTTGTAGGCTTCCAATTCCAAGATTCAGCTTCGTTGAGACCGCAAGCCAATGATCTTTGATCTTCACTTTCACAATCTCAATCCTTTCTAACAGAACAAAAACTGCTAGATCCATTTCTTTCGCAGTAACAATGTTTGTCGTGAAAAAGAAAGAATGCAAGAAAAGCCCTGCTTCAATAAATACTGCATCAATTTCTGTCAATATAACCATGCCCAGTTCTTCGACCCCCTTGTATTCTTTATCAACAATAACAGTGAACAGAAATTTCAGCTCCTTCAGAAGAACATTGACTTGATGATTACTCACAAGAACATTGGAATGCCTTCGGCAACGAAGCAAAATTTCCAGTTTTTCAATAAGAAACTCTATAGAGTTTGCCCATGTGTCTAGTATTAAAGTCCCTGTAAAAATTCCTTTCAAGTAGAAAGTGCTAGAAGTAGAACTATCAGGAAATTGAAGGAGGTGAAGCAAGTTTTGCATTGTGAAGAAGTTCTTAAGCTCTGGCATGAAAGAGATAATGATTTCTAAAAAGTTTTCGTAATCTTCAGTCTCTCCATGTAAGATGCAAGCGCAGGCTGAATCATCAAAAAGCTCCAATAGCTCACAAAATCTGTTGTTGGACTGCGGTATTGACCGTATTGCTGGATCATAATAGTACCTTAAGAACCGAGCAGTGTACAGTCTTCTTGCATATTTGAGAATAGCCAAAAAGTGTGGCCCAAGCCATTGAAAGCTAACAATTTTTTCTCCTCCATCAAGCTCTAAATCTTGCAGATGGGGAAGAAGACCTGAGCTTGTGACTACAAGTGACAGATTTCGATAAGAGAGATCCATCAAGTATTGTTGGTTTGGGCAGAGAGAGAGAGAGAGAGCGATATATTGATGAGAATGAGTGTTTTCACATAAATTGTAATAATGGACGTTGGACAATTAATACATCTCTATTTATATTTGGTTTCTCAATTCATTTGACAAGTTGGTTGAAGGCTAGCATTTGACTAACACAACTGGCATTTTTTCAAGGAAAATGATGACCATATAACCACTTAGACGGATTGGTAACAGACACTATATTTACAAATAATATGATATTAAGCTGTTTCATAAAGTACCATTTACAGATGTATTTTTCTTCTTCTTTCAATTTTAAGGTTAAAATGATGTGCAAGTTTGCATCGAAAATTCGAGTCAAGATAACTTTTTTCTGTTGGATTGGTAATTTGGCATCTCCAACCTCATAGTGTAACAGAAGACTTATTGTGTTGGGAGTTTAGGTAATGCTTAAACACACTTTGCTGAAAGTCGAGTGATTTTAATTTTTTTTCCTGATGAAGGGTTGATACATACAAAATTTTCATGACATCCACATGTACGGATACGATGTAAAAAAATTTATGCATGAATATCACAAATTCAATAAATCAGGTCTGCAGAATGAACTATTTGAAAAAAAAAATGTGCACTTAAACATGTAAGTTTAGTTTCTTCAAAACAAAATTTTTTACTATCATTGAAGTCGGAATGCTGAAGATATAATTTGTCAACCATTAACTCACAGCGTATGACTACAAAAATACAACTAGAGTAAAACAAAGAAAACTAGGACCAATTTCATTAGGGCTTTTTCTCAATTAGGATTACTAAATTTTAATTTATTTTCAAATTTCATCACTATATTACGTACATTACGTCACCTATTGTTCCCCAAACTACACTAATGAATGTTGCTTAGTTTATATCATAAATCATTTAGGATATTTATTAATTCAATGCAATTATTACATGGATGATTCGTTACACTCGGCAATTTGAATTTAAAAATTTTATCAATTTAAAAGATGGCAAATAATCAAATGGTGAAATTTGAAATTAAATTTAAAAGTTTAATAACTCAGTTAAAACTAAATTAAAATTAAATCACTGCAAATGAGATTTACTTGAAAATCTTAAAATAATCAGAAAGTACTCGATCTTTACTTCTTTTATACACTCGGGGTCCTTGGGTCATGAACAAAGGTACATATCGCTACTATATAAAAAAGGGGAATGTGAGAATACTGTAGAAAGCAACAGTGTCGTGATCTATCTTTATTGTAACATTTTTGTTTTGTTTTTTTTTTTCAATTGGGAGCCAAAAATGAAGCCGTTTGCTTGATATATATTTTATTTTATTATACACTACCTCCAAATTTACTGCAACACACAATTTTCATTCCTCCCCCACTCCGATATAAATATATATAGCAGGGATATAAAAAAAAATCACTTTTAAATAAAAAAAAAAGATACAGATAATATGCTATAGAAATTTTTTTACAACATATTACTTGAAAGTAAAAAATTTGAAGAGAAAATATTTAAAGAGCATTTTAAATTGAAATAAAATTATAACGTAAAACTACACAGCAAAAAAAAATTAAATTAATCTCTCCGTGCACGAAGACATTGTCTTCGCGCACAGAGGGAAAAAAAAGTTAAAATATGAAGGACTACGGGGAGAGAAATAAAGTTTTTTTTTTTTTTTTTTTTTTTTTTTTTTTTTTCATTTTCGGGCTCATTACGAGATATCAAACGAAGCTGAAATATTACATTCTTAATATCGTTTTGAAGTACTCGCGGCATAATATTACACATCGTTAATGGTGCGTGAAACGGTCAATCATAGCAAATGTTATCGGACGTCAAAGTAGGCATTTTCAAACTATATTTCGAAATTTTTGATAACAAGTTAACTTTAAAAATTCATCAACGATTGTACAATAGTCGAATCGATAAATGTTTTACATTCTTTCGAAACTCATTTTGAGAACTATATCATAGAGATATCGAATGATCTAAATAGATATCAAAAATAGTTAAACAGACATTAAACGTATATATTAAAAAATACGCATAAGTCATTTTTCTTAAAAAAAATCAATTATTTTATTACTATTTCGAAATTTTCTATATTAAGCTAATTTTAAAAATTCACCGACGATCGTATGATAGTCGAATCGATAAATGTTTTACATTCTCTCGAAACTCATTTTGAGAACTATATCGTAGAGATATCAGATGATCTAAATAAATATCGTAAATAGTTAAACGGCGATTAAACGTATGTGTTAAAAATGCGTATACGTTATTTTTTTAAAATAATCAATTATTTTATTACTATTTATTCTTTTTTCGCAACAACTTTCTCAATGCATCATTTTGCTCAAAAAAATTATGTGGTATGACGAAAAAAAATTTCTCCATGCACGGAACGAATATGTTGTTTTTCATCATTTTATATATTGAATTATTACTACAAAATTAAAATTTATCTCAAACTATTAAAAAATACTGATTAATAATAAAAAAAATTGAAGAAAAAAAATTAAAAAGAATTCTAAATTGAAAAAATTATTATTTATAACGTAAAACTACACAGAAAAAAAATTCTCAAGTCTAAGTTTCTGTTTGGATTATTAAGAGAAAAGAATTCTAAATTGAAAAAAAAATTATAATATGAAC